GCTCCTACAAACGCTGCAGTTAATATTTTCACAGACTCACAAAATTTCATTTCATCCTTTGAAAAAATGAATTATTTCTATACCTCCTCTCCTACCTTTAACCCCATTTTTAAAAACTCCTTTTATCCAATTTGATTCCTTGTCATAAAGTTAATCAGAAAAAAATCCATTCTCATTGAACTCCACAAAGTCAAAGCCATTCAAATGATTATTATAATAATATAGTTGACGCATTAGTAAAAGCTGATGGTCTCCCAATCACACCAAACCACAAAATTCTAGGATACTATTATAATCTATATTTTAACGAGAATATTGTACTTGTTTCACCTAGATTTTTCGTGAAGGATCTTTTCAGATCAATCGACTTTCATAACATACAATTACTTTCACACTTTAAAAAATACAGTACAATGGATATTAATTGGATATGAACCTCTTTCATTCTCAACGATAATGAAAATAACTCATATACAGTACATCTTTCAAAGCCTCTTTCATTCGTAAGTTCAAAATCAAACTCATATTTGAACTGCTTCTGACCTTAGAAATCCTTAAGATAAAACACCCAAATCTATATAACCAATCATGGAATTGTTCTAGATGTTTGTGTACTTATGAAACTTTCAATCACGTTTGGACTTATGCTAAAAGTGAACATCAACTCACTGATATTATTTTCTCGACCAAAAGATTTTCATACAAAATCTTGTTACATTGACTTCAGACAATCAGGATTTTACGGATCTTCTAGAATTGACCATCTGGTTCCTGAATGACTGACCTGACGCTTTTAACTTTATTGACTTGATCAAAGGAATTGTACCTCTTTCCCTGTTTAACAAAACACATCGCCTCATTAATAACCTCTAATTAACAAACGGCCTCCTCTCTTCTACTCACCACTATGTATTTTCCCTAATTAAATCCATTTGGCTTGATCGATGTAATGATATCAAGCAATTTGAAAACCTCAACAACATCTCACTTAATGATCAAAAACTACATTTTACTGATACTGGCTTTCCTTCATCACCACCACACGATTTTAGTATTTCTCATACTTTATTTCCTCATTTAGATTTGATACAAACTGGTTAAATTTTTAGATCGATAGCAACCACGCCCTCTATACTAGATAGTTGAACCTATACCTTTTGGATAGGTTAGTCTAGAACAGTGCAAGGTTGATTTTAATTTGGTTTTATTGCTAAATAGAAATTTTTGTGCTCTCTATCATGTAATTTGTAATTTTGTAAAATTTTACTTTACTTCTAAATAAAGATTGTGCAAAGCTACCACACGTTAAAAAAAAAAAATAATATTTCCTTTAAAAAATAAAATTGAAGAATAGGTTAACAAATCTAAATAAAATATGCAAAAAAATTTTTTAGCTATTTTAAATGAATTATATATTAATATTAAACAAATTTAAATTTTGTGTAAGATATTTAGAATTATATTTGAAATATTTTACTAATAAGAAAATATGTAAAATTTAAAAAAATAATAAAAACAGAATTTTTTTTCAGCAGTATCAAATTTGCATTGTAATTAAGGTTGCTTGTCTAAACTCATTTTAGATTTAATAAAATATCTATACTATAGTTTCACTATTTTTTTTTACTAAAGTTTTAATATAGTTTCACATTTTTATAAGCTTTGATATAGTTTTACCTTTTCTAAAATTTTGTAGATTTTTAATAAGGTTTAATATAATTTCGCTAAATTTTATCTTTTTCCATTTAAACGACTTGTAAAATCTTTAGATTTAGTCTAGCAACCTTAATTGTAATAAATTCTTTATACTACATTTTTATATCAACTACCATTTTCTAAATTAACAATTAAATATAAAATTAGTTTTAAATTAAATAATTCTTAAATTAATCATTAATTTATTTTTTAGTTAAATTTATCAGTTTAATGATTATCTTATTTGATAAAACTTAGATCCTTTTTTATTTTACAAGAATTATTATTTTATTAATAAAAAAAATACTTATATAAAATAAATAAATGCTTAAATAATAAAGTTAAATTGATAATTTTGATTATTTAAGTTGAAAATTTAATTAAAAATAAAATTGCTAAATTTTACCAAGATGTTAATATAATATAGTTATTTGGCTAAAAGTATTTAATATATCATTCTTATTAATATTTGTTAAACTTAAATCATTAATAGTTTCATTATTATAATTAAAATACATTTTATTTAAAATTAAATTCAAATAATTTTGAATATCTGAAATTAAGATTTCAATTTATTAAATTTTATAATATTTATATTTATTTTTTTTATTTATTTTATTTTTTTAGATTAATTTTAATTTAATTTTATTTTTATCTAAGATTTTTAATAGCATTGAATGCTACATCTATTAAATAAAAAGTTTTATTAAACTATATATATTTTTATCTTTTATAATAGTAGAAAATAAATAAAAAAAACTTTTACTTTTATAAATTACCTGCATAATTATTTATTTTATATTTGAGAGGTGAATTTTAAAATAAAATTACTTAACTTTTTATAGATATATTTTAATTTTAATTATAAAAATAAAATATCATTAATTTTTTATTATAATAAAGTAATCAAAAAATAATAAAAAATAATAAAAAAAAGAAAATATATTAATAAAAATAAATAATTATATATAAAGCTTTGAATGGTTTAGATTAATCTGAAAATTTTTAGTTCAGATCAACTTCAGTTCAGTTTCAGATTGCAAAAAATTCAATCTGAAAATTTTTGGTTCAGTTCGGATTTTTTTCAAATTATAAATCTAATCAAAACTGAAAATTTTGGATTAATCTGAAATTTCAGATCATTTGAAACAATTAAATTTATCATTCCAAAAGAATGATAAAAGAATCATTCATTTGAAACGATTAAAGTTATCATTCCAAATGAATGATAAGAAAATCGTTGAATTGAAATGATTAAATTATTGTTTCAAAAGAATGATAAAAGGATTGTTCAATTGGAATGATGAAATTATCATTCCAAATGAACGATAAAAGAATCGTTCATTTGAAATGATTGAAGTTATTATTCCAAATGAACAATAAGAAAATTGTTTGATTGGAATGATTAAATTATCATTCTAAAAGAATGATAAAAAAATCATTCATTTGGAATGATTAAAGTTATCATTCCAAACGAACGATAAGAAATTTGTTCAATTGGAATGATTAAATTATTGTTCCAAAAGAACTATAAAAGGATCATTCAATTGGAATGATGAAATTATCATTTAAACGAACAATAAAAGAATCGTTCGATTGAAATGATCAAAATATTAGATTAATCTGAAATTTTTGGTTCAGTTCAGATTTTTACCAGTTTACGATTCAGTTCAGTTTCGGATTAACATTTTTAAGATTTATAATCCAAACTGAACTGAACCAAAATTTTCAGTTCAGTTTCAAATTGGCTTATAATTCAAACTGAATTGAACCATTCAGAGCATTTACTTATATATTAACACTAAAAAAAAATTTATTATATTTGATCTGAAACAATTTAAAAATGATTTAAATCATTTATTATTAATCCTAATTTAATTAGATATGATTTTAGATCAGAATATTATATCTGTTTGTTCAAATAACTCTTCTTTTAATCAGTTTAAATGAAATGATTTTAATAGAATTTGCTAGAAATACACCTGCTTTACTAAAAAAATTGTTAGCTGAACTAAATATATTTTTTATAAAGCCTATTACTATATATAAAAAATATGTGAATTTTCAAATCAAACAAAGAATGTGATAGTTGAATCCAAAATTACTAAAGAACAGCAACTTCAATATTATAAGAGCTTTACATTATATAATAAAATAATAAAAATAATTAAAGACTTAAAATCCTTTATAGCTGAATACAATAATCAGAAGATTTATATAAAGCAGAATTAAAAAATTGCTCATGAACCATCAATCCATTTCATCAATGAGTTTACAAACCCTTATTGTATAATAATTGTTAATTTATGCTTTTTTATAACCAATCTAGAAACCAATCCTTAAATTTTCCTTCATTAACGTCATGGGTATTCATTGGATTATCAATTATATTTCTTTTCTTATCTATTTCTTTTGCTTCTAATCTTAAAAGTTTTAAGATTTTTGCCTTAAAAAGAAGATATAAAAACTATTAGAGGAACCTTCAGTTTATACACCATTCAGTACAAGTGGCTAATGCACCTAACAAAAATGAAAGAAAATGACTTCTACAAGCAACTAATGCCAGAAGTCAGGAAGCGCAGACAACAAAAACTTGAGCAACTGCTGTACTCGCAGGGCTCGTAAATTAGAGGCATGTTACATCCAATATAATTCCCCCGAATCATCATAATTTCGCTCGTAGATTCTTTTCGATATTTCAGTTAGTCCCTTGTAGATCATTTTTGACGGATGCGATCCCTAATTATTTTTTTTTTTTTTTTAAAAAAATGAGTTGAAAACTTTTAAACAACTCAACATACCACGGTCGCCCTTCTTGTACTTGCATATATACACCTTAAAAACCTTCCTGTATTCCTTCGCGATATTTTCGTTTTTGCCGTTTAACATAATTTATAAACATTTATTTTTCAAATTCTGATTTTCTTATTATTTTATTTTTATATTTTTGTATTTACGCAGTTTTAATTTATTTGACATTGCGAACGCCGACGTTGAGGCAACACTGATTAATTGTTAAATAAATTTTAACGTCACAATTACTTCATTTTTATTCAATAAAAATCCTTCTGCTTACAATACAAAATTGTTTATAAATACATAAAACAAAAGAACTGAATACAAATATTACAAATTGTAAAATTGTAAATTGTAAACGATATGAAAATTCACTTTTTTGAAAATTTAGAACACAACTACAATCAGAAACTTTGAACTTCTTGCATTATAACAATTTCATTTAATCATTTATAAGAGAAAAGATTTGTGTAAGGAAAAATAAACATTGTTAAAAATAAAATAATCCTTCAAGGATTATTGCACATCTTATTAAAATCGCATCCAATCTTATCACCAAGAATCTCTTTAAATTTGTTCCATTCGCAATATTCACTATTACAACCCGGAATTACAAACGGTTTAAAATTGAGCAACACACGTATCAACACGCTATCATCGGAACACGTATAAATTTCGAAATAAAGCGTAGAAGACCAATACAAAAGTTTATATTCCGTATATTTAACATTTTTAATTTGTTCATAGGTTAAATCTGCTGTGAGTGGAAATTCGTTTTTAAATACTCCCTATAATTAATAAATATATATTATTTATTTATGTCAAATAAATTAAAACAAACTGTTAAAAAAAAAAAAAAAATTTACACACCAATGTAGTAAGTATCAAATCCATGCTAAAACTTTGAGCATTTTTTATATCAGCTATCATACTAGAATTACCATTTAAATAATTCTCAACTCCATTTACAAGCTGAGTAAGATAACTACAACCCATTCGTGTATTCAAAGGATGACCATATGAATTTTGATAATAAAATAATAAATCGTAATAATATCGTATTAATACAAGTTCTTTGGGGCTCAACAATGAACACCACGCATCGGTTCGATTAAAAACGGTGAGCCAAAATTGGCAATTGTCAAAGAGTTGTGGTACTAGACGTGGTTCAAGAGGTGGGCTAATATGGTATGTTTCGGAAAGTCGGTTGGCAATTTTTGTTAGCGTCTTGTTACCATAGGCGAAAACTTGTTCGTCAAGTAATTTATTATTAGAAGCAACAGTCTCGTTCCAAAGTTTACAGGAGGCATATATCATACATGTATCATCTTTTTCCTATAAAAGAAATATACAAGGTGTATGTAGTATTTGCTAAAGGATGATTGATAAATGGCGCAATAAAATATTTTTTTTTTTTACCGGTGGTACAGTCAGATAGTAAATAGGTTGACTTTTACAAGTATCTAAAGGCCCCTTGCCATTAAATAAACCTTGAGAAAAAGACATTATCGACGCACCGTTTCTTAAGAAGAATAATATGAATAAATCATCAAAAATGAAATGGTTGTAAAAATCTATGACAAACTAATAAATTGTACCTTGTAAATTGAGTACTTTGAAATTTTATAACTTCGGGATCATATTCAACTTCATCCCAAAATTTTTCATATCTTTTACGGGATTGTAATCCATCAAAATAAGGTTCGATTTCCCCTCGTTTGATCAATTGCAAATTTTTATTCATGGGGAAAGGATTTTTATACTAAAAAAGATAATAATTGTTCTAGTTAATCACGACAATATTTATTGAATTCTTCGTAATTTAATAGAGTATTTTTTTTTTTTTTTACCCATTCCTTTGCAACATCAACATTGGCAAATATTTTTTCCAATTCGTCAAAAGCTCTAATATTATTTGGACCTGGATATCTTGATCCTGGTCAAATTTAAAAAGATTATTTTTGCGTCAAATCTATATCTACATTACATTGTACGAAGTAGTAATTACCGTGTCTAGAAATCATATATAATTGTTTTAAGTCGCATTTGTCAGGATAACTTATGGGTTCAATGTCAAGAGCAAAGGCAGTTTGTGGTGGTTCGAGGTAAAAAAAATGGTTGTCGAGAAGAAATTCTCTAGAATACTCGTACGTTTTGCATAGCGTAGGATTATTTGATACAAATAAATTGATGATAAATACTGAATATAAAATGCGGTATGGAAACTGCATCTTTTTTTTAAAAATAAAAATTCAATTTTATTTTTTAAAGTTAAAAAAGAGGAAATAAGGGTCTTTTTAAATTAATTTCACTATCGAATTTCTATTATTGTCAAAATTAATTGAACCACCATGTTTAGTAATTAATTTTTTTTTTATGACCGGTTTCAGAACGGGGCATGCAATAAACCTACTACAACATTATAATTATTTATTTATTTGAAATATATAATAATAGATTGAAGATTATTCGACAAAAAAATTTTTCACATTGTTTGTTTTCAACAATAATTGTTTTATGCTTAAAATGGGTTGTACCACGTTGACGATATTACTATTCTGAGACAGCTCAATAAAATATCATCTGTGGGTTAATGTTGGAGTATTCATTTTTGGTTTTTGCTTCTAAATTCCCGTTTTACCATTCTCAGAAATAATTTTAAGCCTTTGTCTTAGGTTTCACAAAATTCAGAAAAAATGATTAAATTTAAACAAGTTATAATCAATATTTTTTACTTACATATTTTGAATTTTTTGCTTTTTTTTAATCTTTCGGGTGAAAAATGAGGAATTAACAATAGTGTTCCATGCCTTTTATAATGATTTAAAAATTCTTGGAAAAAAAAAAAAATTTATAATTTGTCGAACGAAACTGATTATCCTTTCTCCCTTTCTCTTCAGGTAATATTTGGTAGCCAATAGCTTCTTTCACAGCCTTTACTATAAATATAATCTTATTGAAAAAGCCCATTTTAGAGGTAATTTTAAGTTTTGTCGATCGCATTAATATAAATTGGTGTCCAAAAAATGTATTTTTGATTTTCAATAAAACGATAAATAAAAATTGCTTTAAATCAGCTTAACCTTTTTTAGTAAACTATATTCTAATAAGGACATACCAAAAAAAAAATAATTTACTTTACACAACACCACATGATGATAAATGTTCGAGAACAGCTGCAATTTTGGAAAATGGAAAATGACATAACTAGTTCGTTAGACCCTTTTCAATTGACTCGACCGTCGAATTCATTGACTAAGTACCCCTGTGTATATACCGGTATATACCCTCCCGGTTTTTTGGTAAAATTTGGTAAAATACCCGGGTGTTAAGCTAATTTTTTTTAAAAATCGAAAATTTTATTATTTATAAGTAACATTAATAACATCTGTATTAATTAAACGGCGTATTAATAATACTATTTAGATCGCACACACAATTTCAACGTCTTTTGAAGTAATTCTCGGGTGTTGAAGCCGTGATCCGTGACTGCGCTAAAAATAGATCATGTGATCTAAATGATCGACATAGTTGACAAAGTTGCTAACGTTGATCTAGTGGACAAATTAGATAAATGAATTATAGTTATTATATTTATTAATTATATCTTATTTATTATATATATTATATTTATCGTAGTTGTATTATTTATTCTTTTTATTATATTTGTTATAGTTGATTTTATATTATTTCATTTTATATAAATATCTTGTATTTTCTCTTGAGTTGAAAAGTAACTCAAGTTGAGGTTTTAGGATAAACCAAGAGTTCAATAAAGGAATCGTTAAATTCATTTACTATTGCCTTTTGTCGTGTCTTCATATAGGCGTGATTGTGATATTGTCTTTCATTTAATTCGACGGATTGAATTAAAAGTTAATCGTTTAAGTTTATAGATACCAAGCCAACAGTGTTTAATAATTTATTTCCTTTAGTCGTCATTTTTTTTTTTTAAAAAAAAATTCTCGTTACGCAAAGTCACGCGCTCGTTTATTTCTATCACCCTAAGATCACTCTTAACAAAATACTCCCAGATTAAAATACCCGGATACTTTACAAAATAAGTAACAAATTTGTAAAATACGTGTTCTACGGTATATATTTAAAATATTGATTATAAATGTTACAAAACGAATATATGTGTAGGCGGAATTAAAATGCCAGAATTAAAATTGCCAGGATTCATTCTGCTTAAAAAAATTGAAATTTTTTATTTTGTTGAATTAGCTAGAAAATTTCAACGGCGGGTATCACTATAATTGTCCAGAAAGTACTTTTTGGATGGTTATAATGTTTTCAAAAGGGTTCTAAAAAAAAATTTGTGATATATTATAGACACAAGAAGAAGGCCTTTACACTTGACCGAATGATTTCATGAATACTATGTTTTTAAAAGTTTCAACTTTCATAAAGGTCTGTGATTTTGATTGTTCATCCGATATTTCGTTAAAAATTTCGCTGCGATTTATTCGTAATAAATTCAGCTATTTGAAGCGGAATGTGCTCCCGAGATGAACATTCATGCCCAAAAAGTATTACAACGTAAAAAACTCTTCTTGTTATCTTTTTTAAAAAAAATTAATCATCACTTGTTCGGAGATTTGGGAAATTAACCAAAATGTGACGACTTGGAACGAACAATAATTAGTAAAACAATAACAAAAGAAAAGGAAGAAACTATAAATAGAAAATAAGCTAAAACACTAAATGTAAATCGATTCTCGTACCACAAGTATATGTAGATTTTAAATCCTTTACAATGTTAGAGGTTTCGGAAATCAGTATCCGGAGATCGAGAAAATATTTTCGGATGTTAGATTACGCTTGTCGATCCAAACTTGTCCCAATTCTGGAAAGGAACGATCATCAATTTACCCCTTAAAATAGCAAAAAAATATTAAGTTGCCCCTCCGATTTGCAAAAATTCATTATTTAAAAAAAGAAAGAAAACAAAAACGTTCATTTTATTTGATAAAAGATTATGCGCCATATGGTGATTTAAAACAAAGTTTAAGGGAACAAAGGTAAATCTTAACGTGCATACAATAATAAAGATCATTGACTTTTTCAGGAGATCAATAACTTGGTGTGACATTAAAGTTGGACTATTATATCGACCATATCCTAATTGGGACATAATGAATGAAACACCAAACCGATTCCTTGTTTGAAAAGATATCATATGCTCAGATTTCATACACGACGCAGTTAATTAATTTTAAATATAAATAGAACTTTGATTTCTTTCCAACCCAAGCAGGAAAAAAAATTATATCTCATTTATTATTCCTCTTCAAACTTGTTGATCAAGTTTACAAAAAAATTTTTTTTTATCTTTATAAACTCGTAGATCGAGTCAAAACATATCATACTCTTACAACTTCGTAAATTTTTTTTTAAAAAAAAAAATCAAAATAATTTTTATCAACGAATCTTTAAAATGGTCAAAATCAACGACATATCATCATTTTTAGCGTCATTCATTCCACCTGTACCAAAAGATACAAAATCCTTATATTCACGTTTTCTACTAAAAACTTCGAAATATGAAATAAATTCCGTATTAGATATTACCAAAAGAGTGTTGAAGGCATTTGATACTTTAAAATGCGACCATGAATTATGTGAAAAGTGTACCGGGTTTATTGAACACGTCATTAAAATATTAGAAGAGATTGAAAATTTACCTGTCGAGAAAAGAGATAAATTGATCGAAACTAAAGAATATGATGATTTTATAAACTTGATTTACGAAATTGAAGATTATCTCAAAATGTATGATCAAACAGAAGCAAATCAATCTTTGGTGAAAAAATCAATTCAAAAGTTCGTTCTCGATTTAGAAATTGTTATTAATGCTCTCCAGCGAGCATATGAACCTCTAAAGATCAAGAAAGTTAGTAGGTGGAATCCTTCAGTCATTTCAAAAATAAGAACGATTGGAAAGCTGATGGTTATGAAAAAACAATTCGAACGAATGAATTCTCTTAAAAATGAGAAGAAACCAACTGTTAATACTCCAGAATTAATTGTATCGACGAGAGATAAATGTGACGAAGAGAAGACAAGTGAACCTATTATTCGGACAGATTTTATTCCGCGAGATCATATTATTTCGAAAGGTCAAAATAAAAATGACGAGTTTATGGGAACCCTTTATGAGAAGAAAGTTGTCGAGAAATTTGTTGAAATCTTATCAAAAAATTCTGAAAAATTCGCTGAATTTAAAAAGGAAATAGCTTATTTAAGGAATTTGTCGGATGAATGTAAAAATATTCTCTCGGTGAAAGGATATACTGAACGTGAAGTATTATCAGATTTTGACAAGAATTCTTCCATTTTGCGCGCTGTTATTAATCGTGCAAATCAATGGTACAATAATGAATATGCCATTATGTTGGTTACCGAATGCGCTGACTATAACCTTTCAAATTATCTAAAAGGAAACCAACTAGATTGGAGGACCAAAATTTCAATCGCTCGTGGAATTGCCAATGCTTTGAATTTTATTCACAGTTTAAATTTACTTCATTACAACATCAAAAGTGACAGCGTGTTATTGGATCAGAATCTCGAACCAAAACTTTATGAATTTGGTAAAGATGCAGACAAATGTGTTGTTTTAAAACAGGCTCGATCAATAAATCATTCAAAATGGTCAGCTCCCGAAGTTAAACGAGGAGGAAAGTATACATCAGCAAGTGAAGTTTATAGTTTTGGAGTTATACTTTTGGAGATTTCAACTCAAGAATGTCTATCGGAAGAAAATTCAATTGTCAATCATGATGCTCCAAAAGATTATCTTTCGCTCATGGAAAAAGCTTTGGATCAAGATCCTCAAAATCGTCCAACCATGCAAGAGATGTTTGATTCTTTGAAACAATTAGAGTCGTCATATAATGTCCCTGATAAAGAAATTCCCTCGTTTGGAAAGGTAATGAATACGTTTATAACTTATATTGCAAGTAAAAAAAATTTATTATTTGACATTTAGAAACTATGTAAATTTTATTAAAAAAAAAAAAAAGAATGGCTAAAATAATTTTTTTTTTTTATATATCTTGTAAAAAATTAAAAAATTTAATTGATTTGATTGTACTATGACAAATTAATAAAGCAGAAATATTATTGGGACAAATAGTTTATTATATTAATATTTGTGAGTTCTAAATGGTGTATTTTTGTGATATAGTAAACTTAAATGAAATTAAACTAATTTTTCAATTTACGATATCCGAATCATTTCGATTTTCAAATATTAATTATATATTTTCGAATATTTGAATTTTATTTATTTACAAACGAATATTTGAATATACTATTTTCAAACGGAAATCCTAACACTTGTCTTCGTCAGACTAACTAATTTTATTGTTCATTAGATTGACATTCAAAGATTATAATCATTTTTGATTTTGACAAATACATTTAAACTGCTGTAAATTCCCGTTTAAATGTGAAAATCCTTATTCATATGAAGTAAAAATGCGGCAAGGTAATTTAATCCGAGCTGAAAAAAAAAGTCGAAAAATTGTGGAGTCACGTCATATTTTAAATCCTTAAATAGTAGCAATTACTTTATCTTGGCGTGAAATTATTAAAAGTTTTTAATAAATCTTTATATTACATTTTATTTGAATTTTCTTTTTTCAAAAGGTTTTCATTGAATGCCTCAATATAATAACAATACTTTCTATTTTTTTAAAAAAAAACAATGAAAAAACATAAACTCCTCCGATTTTATTTAAAACTGCGCCATTCAACTAAATGAGTTTGAGCATGAACTTTAGTAGGTTTACGAATAGCTGGAAGAACTCATGAAGTTATTGCCCGTATTTTAAAAATTCCAAAAAGTATACAATCGTTTGACATGATAATTTAATAGTGGATTGAATGCCAAAAGAACTGAAAGACCACTTTCTAATGAATAATGATACTGAACACATCAATAAATTATAAAAGTATGCCAGAAATGAATTGAAGCATCCAGAGAATATTAATTCCATTTACGTCATTATTAAATAAATAAATTTTTGTTTCAGCTGATCGGATACTTTTCCGAAGGTAGTGTATACTGCACATGATCAAAATTTCTATACCATTTGTATCAAACAACTATTAAAAGAATACATTAGATTATTTGTATTCCTAGTATAACTGTAATTAATAGCTTAATCTTAAAAGAACAAGTATAAATCTTTTAAAAAATTGTCCAAGTCTTTTTAAATATTTTATTTATGTGTATATAGAAGCTGCGGATCTGTTTTACTCATTTTCATAAGCCTTTCAACTATTAAATAAATAAAAATTGTTTTATCGCTCAAAAAAATACTACATACTAAGAATTTATTCTTAGGTTTGTTTAGTCATATATATCTAAATGATTGCACGATAAATGCATTAAGCTTTTTAAACTTTAATTTTTTTTTATGGCACGACAATATACATATATAAAAGCTTGCAATGCAAACATCAACAAGCCATTGCTAATAAACGACAAATATTAATAAAATTTTTTAATTTTGTGGAGTTCATTTAAAAAAAAATTTCTAATGATTAATTGATAATTATATAAATCTTGTAACATATGAATATAATGAATCTTATTACACACTTATAGAACTTTTAGAACATTTTTTTTTGTTTATTAAATTAATTCAAATATTCATGATCTATTAATTATAACCTTTCAAAATGAATTCCGCTCTTAACTTACAATTTCATTTTAATATTTTGTTGGAAATTAATTATGTGTAATAAACGGTATATTCAATTATTCGAATCGGTTGAAATTATATATACTTTAAGAGATACAATATATATATTAGTTTAAATTAAATAATTATGACGTAAGCCGTGTATAAATAAATTGATACTAATTTACATCAGCATTTTCTTATACTGAGATCGTTAGGATCTTTTAAAAAGTTATAATCAGGATAGGTTTCAACTTGAGAAATGCTAGTTGAACCGTTATCAAAAAGAGGACACATAGCATTGACAGTAGAATCCTCAATAGTAAGTAATCTACTTGATAAATTTCGCGCATGGATCATATCCACAACGTCTTTTGTTTGGGTATTATTGGCATGATCCAAATCTGCCGCAAAAATTTTACCCATCACATGCAAAGGTATAATCTGCCCGTTTCCTTGGTCATTTTCAACTATATTTATCTAATTTGATTATTAAAGAATTTTGATTATACAAAATTCTAGCTTCCTTAGAAAGATTTTTGTAAATCCTTTACGTCTTGTGGTTCCTTATACCAAGTATTTTTTGCAATTCTTGATAATTGACTCATTGGAGGTAATTTGATGTTTTTATTACGATATATATTTTTTGTAATGCCATTCTGTACGCGATAAAAGAGTTTGCGTGATTTTGTTTTACCGCTTTCAAGTGCGTTTGATCTTATAATATTTTGATGAGATCGTTTATCGTTAAAACTTGAGGGAATGTCAGTTTGATATCAGTGCGAACTTATTAGAAATCGTTTTCTCTAATAGTAGTCTCACTATTCGAACATAATTGTCTACATATTAAATTTTTTTTTTGTCAATTTTTTTAAAAAAGGAATAAAGTATATTTATATATTTTTTTTTAAATAAAAACAAAAAAACTTTAAGGCACTTTATACAAATTAAGGAATGATCGTGAAAAAAATGGATCGTGTCGTGAGAAAATATGCTTACTCTTTATTTACGAATGGAGGCGGAGACCATTACACATAGGAAGAAGTTCATGTGATTGGCTAATTTAACGACCCTAAACAATCAATAATTGACCAATTAAAATTTAAGTATCAATTAAACCAATTAAAATTAAACATAAATTTAAATAGAATTTAAATAAAATAAAATCATAATTTTTATTATTATATACCGTTTATATTATTTCAAAAATTTATTAAAATTGTATTTATATCATATTTAATAAATATATTTAAATAATTATTTTAATTATTAGCTAATTATTGTTGAATAAATCGTAGTATCAGGAAGTTGAAATACCATCAACTGATTCTTTATCATCATGATCTTCTTCAGGAATAAAGTCGTCCCTGACAAATTGCATAATATGTTGAGGATAACTGATGTTTTAATGAGTTGTTTGTTTGGAGATTTAATGGTAGATTTGAATAATTTAAAAAATTTACCAAAAATTTAATTGAGGAAAAAATGCAGAGGATGGTTTAACACATTTTCAGTTTTTTGAATTAAATCCAAAGGGAAATCCTAGGATTGGACATCATTAACTGGACCTGACAAATTGATGATGTTACAATATTTTAATGTAACTAAGTTTATGTGATCATAGAAAGAAAATATCACGCTTATAGAGAGATTTTTTAGATTTATATCAATTTTTACGTAAGGATTCATTTACTGATTCTGATATTATTTCTTTTGAAATTAACGTAAAAATTAGATCAAATTATTTTGTGAACCTACTATTGGCAAAGCTAATTCCATTAATCAAAGAAAAGGTATGTTTAATCCGACCGATATAACTTCCTATATGCATGTTTTGTATTTCATATTCCAGAAATTCTAAGAAAATTGCAAAATAAAGGATTAAATTTGAAACATTTTTCCACGTCAAGTATTGAAAAGAAAAATCATCTGCATGTAAGATTACAATTTACTTTTGAAAATAGATATTACTTAATGAATGATACACCCAAATGTATTAAACAAAGAATAATCCATTCGAATCTTTAATCGATTGTAATTATATTACTTCGAAATAATAAGTTCGGCTTAAAAAGATGATGGTTAATATTGATAATTAATAATTTAAAATTTTTAAGGTTAATTAACATGTAAATATAAAGAAACAAAGAAGATCGAAATAGTGATATTGATTATTATTTATTTAATAAGACGATCTTTTAAGTTTTTTTTTTTTTTTTTAAAGAAACTGAAACAAATTTCACAAGAAATAAATGTTTATAAGAAAGATATCTTACTTCGGCTCAAAAAACTGACGAGCAATAACTGCTTTCATCTTATTACAATCGTTAAAATGAAATACTTTAGTAATTTTTGTATATAGTGATGAAAAAAATGTCATTCGAAGAAATGAACGTTAAAAACTCTTAATATCAACTGAACGTAAAGATGTGCCGACCGGTGACTCAAATTTATTTGTACTAAACGAAAAATGGAAAGGTTGAACGATCAGTTTATTTGTGTAATTAATAGTCAAATAGGATAAGATCATTAATAAATTAAAGCTACTGTTCGCTTTATTTTATTTTGTCCAAGAATTAAAGACCAAATTTGCATCTGATAAAATATGTTCCATTTGATTAAATATATTCTTTTTAATCATTCCAATTGAACTAATTACTAGACACTTATAAAAGTACAAAAGAAAATACACGTATAACATGATTATAGTCATTGCAATTGTGTGAATTTATTTTAGATAAATGTATTACAAAAGATGTGGATGAACTTGAGTTTCGATGTTGAGTCTGCAAAAACGATCAATAAAATAATGTTATTTAAAATATAATAGAAGAATCAAGCAGAAGAAACAAACAGTTGTGGTATGATACAGAAAGAAAGTGAATATTCGTTCTACATATATTGGCCTACTAAATTGTTTATACAACTAGTATCACTTACTATAAAATATCTTTGTATTTCTTTTTATAATCCGAAAATTAAAACTCATGAGAATATTTTCTGGATTCTCAAGAAAAATGATGTCGTTCGCATTGGTGCACAGCGTTTTGATTTTCTTTCTAAAATTATATCGTTTCTGCGGATACCAGGTGAGTTTTATTTTGTTCTTTTTTCTCTGTTTCGGACCCTTTACAATTAATTAAATTTTATTAATAATCTTCATTTTATTTTAAAACACTACGGTGATCGTCAAATTAGTAAGTTACTATATTAAGAATGATGCTCGATTTTCGAAATGATCTAATTTCCATATTTTAGTTTCAAATATTTGAATATCCGAAATTTATGTAATTCGGGCGACCGATCGCTAGAACCAAAGTAAAAAAAAAAAATATCCGAAATTTATGTACTAAACTTTATTTATAATTTATAACAAAAAAAGTTTTAAAAAAGGTTGAGAAACAAAATAGAATTGGATAACATAAGAATAGCTTCATACTAAGAATGGGAACAGTATATACTTGTAAACTAGATCTACTGATTGTAAATTACAATTTAAAAGGAATACGAATTTTTTTTTATCATTTTTTACATTTTTTTTTCTTCATAAAAAGGAACTGATTTCTATTTACTCTGAATTTAAGAATCATGCTTTTTCTAAATTCAAGCTTATTTACTAACATTCACCAAAAAAAAAAAAAAACTCAACAAACTCAACTTCCCAAAGAAATCATAATCATGAACCGAAAATTTATTTTTGCATTCCTCTTATTGGTCACGCTCTCCATGGTCAATGCATTTCCACATAACCTTCTTAAAAGAGCCATCAAAATTAATCAATGTGCCCCACCAGATGGTTCAATAATCCCACCAACCAAACTCCAAGTAACATTCTCACCCGAAGTTCCTGTCGCTGGACAAATGGATGAAGTTACGATTTCCGGAAAATTTACGAAAGATATCACCGAAAATACCGAACTTGTGGTTGCATTTATTGATTCAAATGGAGCTGCCTTAGCAGATCCAACTAAATTGCCTGCTTGTACTGGAAGTGGATGTTCAATTAAAGCTGGTGAGCAGTATACTCAAACGGTGGAAATTCAAGCACCAGATAGTATACCTCATTCGACCGATATCTTTATTGTTATGGGTAATTCAAAGACCGATGTTATAGGCTGTGCATATGTCAAACTTTAATTTAATCTATTTATTTCATTAACAACTCATTTTAATAAATAATAATTTCTAGAATATAAGTTATAGAAGTACATTTTTTAATTCTTTATATAGTATTAGTCACTGATTTATACAAAATATCTTACAATTATTATTGCTTATGTTCGGTTATATAATTATATGGCTTGCAATCAATGTTGTTTATTATTAATGCAAAAAAAATATTATTGATGATTTTATCAAAAAAAAAATCCGCTGATAAAATACTATAATCCTTTTGTATTTACAAACTAAAGGAATTTTATTGTTAAATTTAATTACGATATTTGTAATAAAAACTAGCTTTTTTATTGTAATTTTTATTAATAATAAATTTAAAATAAATATTTGCTTTTATTGTTTGATTAAACTATGTATTCGATTAAATAATCGATCATGTGAGTGAGAGAACGATCATGACTTTTTAAAACCTGTCAACATCTCAAAGGAATTTAAATACCTTATTAGCTTATTTTGTAAAGTTGTTTTTTTTACCGTTTAGGCATTTGTCTGTTTTAAAGAACGGAAGCTATGTAATTATTCTTTTTTTTTTTTATGAAAGTTAAGAGAATTTTGTAAAAAAAGATGCATAAAATTTAATTCTTGATCAGCTTTGATAAAAATATTTTTTTTTATAAATATTCATATGTAATAGGTGCCATCCCGAAACTCACATTTTATAATCCTGAATGACAAGATCCCAAAATCAAAAATCTTGACTTAGTACTAAAAATTCTGACACCAAAATTTATTACGAAAATATTACTACTTAAAAAAAGTTATTGCAATTAATTATAAATATAACAGAAATTTTCGAGGTAGCCAGAAAATTAGAAGTTTCATGATAGGGTTAGGTTAAATATTTTTTTTTTTTTTAAATTTGATTTCTTGAATTTATTATTTTAGAAGAGGTGTTACAAAATTTTGCGAAAGTGATACAAAGTTTATTTAATATTTGCAAAATTAAATTGTACAATCATTTTCTTTTAGGATATTAAATGCCAGAATATTTTAGATTTTCAATTTTGGAAATTTTATCATTCTGAATTAATGAGTTTTCGTATCAGGCTCATATGTAACAGAGACTTTTATTTCTGAAAAAAATTATTAAAAGTGCATTTATTCTTAATCAGAGAAAATCAATTATTTTATTGTATTTTATCAACTTTATTAAAAAAGATTTGGGTGTTTATATCCTGTGATTCATTTATTTCTTTTAAAGCAATTTTTTATAGGTACAGGATTAGATAATTTTCTCAATTGCGTAGGTTTTCTCGCTTGAATAATGATGACATAATTTCCTTTGCTATTTATTCTCTTAGGTGTTTACTTATAAATTTATAGAAAAAAATAATATTTTTTAATGATATTTTTACAATTTAAAAATTTTATTATATTTGAAAATTTCATCATATAATTTTTCGATGGTAGAAAAATTTACTACATCGCTAATAAAGTTTATATTATATCATAATTACATACTTTGCCATTTTGATTCGATCAGATACTGACGGACGCACATGTCTAATCTTATTCAGTTCGTAACATTTTCTGAAGTATTAAAAAAATTAAAAGGTAAATAACTTTGTCAGTTATAATCATTAGGGATGTTAAGCGGTCCTAAGCAATCCTAAAATTCCTAAGCAAATTACAGAAGAATTATTTTCACAAATTTATTATTTTACTTGTCTATTATAATGTTTTAATGAGCTATTTATTGAAAATAAATAATAATCCCTCTTGGAATCCCAGAATTTCTTAAAATTTAAAAATGTTAGGATTTAGGACCGGGTCCCTAGGACCGGTCCTGCACATAGAGGTCCCAAGTTTGAATATCATTTTCGCTTTTTACAAATTAAGTATGACATTATTTGATGGGGGGTACTTATTATAGATAAGTGATTAGATTTCTCTAGAGATAGTAATCTCTTAAATCGTAAGGACCGCTTAACATCCCTAATAATCATTACTTTTACTGACAAAATCTTAAATGATAAAGAGTTTCCATTTGAAAACTGTATATTCGTCCGTTTATAGATAAATAATATGAAATTTTTTAATATTCGAAAATCTATTTGAATTTCGAATGGTAATTCTTATTCTATGCATATAAATTTCTTCGCAGGTAAATAGTGTACTTTTATGAGATCAAAATATCAAAATGAACTTTAAAAATAGAAGTTTCTATTATCCAAATCTATAAATCTTTTTTCTAAAACTTTTAATTTAATTTTTTCATTTTCATTTTTTTTATAAATCGCATTTAGCACGCAATTCCTCCGAGCGTATCAAACAATTCACCCCCATCAATGTATCAGTTCATACATTTATAGAAAATTTTACATTTTTTATTTATATTTTAGAAAAGTAGATTTACAAACGATTGATTATATTTAGAATAGAACTATTTACTATATCTTAATCGAATTTATAGATCATTTTTAGATCTATATATTTTGTACGGCCAAATCTGATGATAATTGTGTTTGTACAATTAATTTACTTGTGACGATGTGAATGACCAGTATCTTGGTTATAAGGTCTACAATAAATTTTCAACTTGGTCACGATATGGTTTTAATTTTAAAATTTTCTGCAAAGTAAGTTTCCGAGAAGGAGACTTAAGAACTCAAGAGAAAGAATTTAAATATAAGTGAGAAAAATAAAAAAAAAAGAATTGAAAAGTTTAATAAATATATTTCATGTTACATGAATTTATAGCGAATATAGAAATTTAATTAATTTATTTGGTACAACATTTCACATTTGTCACGTAAAAATTTCAAGAATGATGTTTGACTAACAGTAATTAATACTCATATATATTATCGTGAAAATTATGCTATAAATTAATAATAATAAATTAATAATCTATAAATTAAAATTAATAAATAAAAATAAACAAAACTTACTAGTAGTAATAGAATAAGCATTAGAATTTGCATGACGATTTATGAAAAGGTTTTAAGAATTAACTTTTAATTACATAAATCATTTGGTAATTCATGTAACCTAAATATATTACCACGAACGCAATTATGAAACTCTATAAAAATAAATTTAAAGAAAAAAAATGAATTCAATTTCAGTTTCAGTTCTGATATTTTCTGCGGTGAAAAATATTTTATTGTATAAATTTTTTTTGGTGTAAAAATTTATTGAATATAGGCGAGAAATGTTTGAAGAAAATAAGAAATTTAGATAAAAGTAAGAAAAAAAAAATAAAAAAATAAAATTATGTATTCTTAGTTGAATGATTAATTATGTTATGAATTTTTTTTGCTAAAATTATAATAATAGATAAGAATGAGAACGATAATATGAATATCAAACAATTTCTATTCAAAGGTGAATTAGGAAGAGCA